GTCTTCTCGCTCCCACACATAAAATCGGCTCCTTTACTTGTGCAGAATGTTGCTTACTCTATAGTTTCTAGTGGTATTAGTAGTAAAACAAATTCTTCATACTAAATATTCGTTGGCGTCACCTTCGTTTGCGTAATTTTCTAGAACAAGTGTAGAATAGCGACCGTTTAGCTATAAAATAACCAAAAATGCCGATTGATAGAACTTTTTACGCTGATTTCAACGATACCAAATTTAGGTAAAAAAAAGAAGGTATAAGAGGTTTATTTGTATTTTTTATTATCACTAAATTGTTGACACCCAAAAGTAGATCATGATAAAATATGTAATATCGAATTAAAGATAATGACTTGTACTTTCTAAATAATATAAAATTCGTTACCATTAATTATGCAGGTTATTAAGGTTATTTCATGAAAAAATAATATTTGTTCGCTTTTTAGTGGTTTTGGTTTAAAAATACAAAAGTTATAAATTATGTAAATCAGCTGAAGAACAAATTAATTAGCTTTATGGTGACGTCATTAGCTTTTTAATCGATTACAAAGTTCATAAGATATTAATATTTAAAGTATCTAAGAACTGAACTTTAACCTTCTAGAACCTCTTCATTTTTTAATTGCGCCAAATCATTTTGGCATGGTTGAAATTTGCATAAAAAGTTCTATTGATCTGCTTTTTTCGTTTTTGCATAGCTGAACGGTCGGTATTCTAGATTTGTTCCCGGAAATGACGAATAACTTAAATCAAAAATGCATATTTATATGTATTGTTTAGTATTTCCATTAAAACACCAAATATATTGCAAATTCACATAGAATTAATTATACATATTTTACTTCTAATTGTATACTTTGCGCACTTTTTTAGTACCTTTCTACTACCGTTTTCGCAAAATGCGATCAAATTCTTCCCATTTCTCTTACTTCCAAAATACAAATCTAGATAAAGGAGTGTCAAATTTTAGCTGTCACAAATTACACAACCTTGTATTATTAAATCATGGCCTTATTCATAAAAAATAAAGTAGGTTTAAAGAAATTTAGAAAATGACGTTTTCATAAATTTTTCAGTTTTTAAACCTTTTTTAAAGCTACTTTATTTTTTTATGAATAAGGCCATTAAATTATATTGCTGGAAAACGCCAGTCTGCCTCTCAACGGTTTTACCTTGTAATGTTTTTATCATGGTAGCGTGTATCTTTACTTGCCCTAAAAAAACATGAAAAATCGTATTAAACCTGATTTCGAATTTTGAACCCACTCACCCTACATGAAATTCAACGGAATTAGCCATATTTATAGTTGCGTTCCAGGTGCATCACGATTTGCAGGTTTTACAGGATTTGCAGGAACAGCTGTTTTCTCCATTAATAAACCTTATGGAAGGTGGTCACCTGGAACGGCTTCCTGTAAAAACCTGCAAAACGTGAAGTATCTGGAACGCAACTTATGTATGCTGTGAATATAAACATTTTTTCAAATTTTCTGTTGTTCATGAAACGTATGAAGCCTTTGGCACTGCCGCAGACAGCGCTGCTCTTACTTGTTTTATTTTGAAACCAAAAAATATTTAGAGGTCGCTCAAAACGCTCAAAGTTGTTCATGTCTTTTATAGGGAGAAAAAACATCTTTTCGTATAGAATTCTTTAAAATCAATATTTTTCGATCTAAACTCTAGTTCCATTGCATTTTTTGGGCTTTTGGCGGACCGATAAAATATAGTTACTATAAAAAAATGATTAGAATTCTTTAAAATCAATATTTTTCGATCTGAACTCTAGTTCTCTTGAAGAGAGTCCTCCCATTGCCATTTTTTTGGGCTTTTGGCGGACCGATAAAATATAGTTACTATGAAAAAATGGTTAAATAAACGATTTGGTATTATTATTGGGAATCTCCTGCAGAGAAACAGAGTTTTCCGATCAAAATGTATTTATTTTAAAGAATTCTATACCATTTCTACGAAAAGTGTTTTTTTCTTATATGAAATATGTATGTATGTACCTACAAGGAAAATTTTGAGCGCTTTGATCGACCTCTAAATATTTTTTGATTTCAAAATAAAAAATGGGGGTATATTTTTTCGGTATAGAACAATCCTAGAGTGTGGGAGCATAAAAATTCCGACTTTACTTTTTCACATGCATTTTGGACTACCCTAATGTACATACATATATGAACATACATACCCAGCCAGCAAAATATCCGGAAACGTATCCGAAAATGGAAACAAACGATTTCATTATGAACTTCACAGAGACTTTTTCATAGTTACAGGAAACCAAACAAAAAACAATTTTAAGATTCAGCAATTATTTCAATTTGAATAAATATAATTTTAATATATTGCTTCTGACGGAATTCGAACCTGGGACCTCCTGAAAGCTAACAAATAGTAGCACACTTCTCTGCACACTCAGCTACTGGCGAATACGTATACATGTTTTCAAATGCTCAGTTTGAACAAATATTTTAAAATTATTGTTTTGAAATAAGATGATGACATTTTTCGGATATAAAAATATATGGAAATCGTTTTCTGAACGTTACCGGATACGAAAAATGTACGAAAACTGCACTTTCGGCAAAAAGTACGTTTCTCTGCTGGCTGGGTGTGTATATGGATACATCCACAACTTTAGTAAAGAGAACAAATGAAATTTACCAAGCAATAAATTCTTCCGACTTCCAATATTTCGACGGTGCTTCCCAATCCCCGTCTGACCATAGGATTTCTGGTAGGTACTCATTTACCAATTCAATTTGCTCTGGGCGCAATTTTCTATTTACATAATTTTGTTCCAAAAATATATGCAATTTATCATTGATATATAGCCGATTGAACCATTCGAAAAGTGAATAGTATAAACCAAACTTGAGTGTTGTCTCTTTGCGAATCGCGGAAGAAAGTTCACCTGAAAATATTAAAAGTAAGTATTAGATAACTTGCAAGGGAATAGGAAACACAAAACCAAAATACTAAAACATGGGTATTAAAAAAAAATCGTTGTGGCGTATTCATAGTCAAAATAAAGTTAGTTGCTTTTTGACATAATTTTCAAATACTATACTAGAGTTCAATCTTTGATGCGATAAATCGAAAGGCAAAAATGAGCGGTTTATTTTGCACAACAACACTGTTTTTTGGCTGCGACACCTCAAACAGTTCAGTTCAGTTCAGCGCGGTCTCAAATGAAGATGAAGACGAAGCCGAAGACGAATCGCTTGCGTTGGGGGCAAGCTGGCTAGTGTACATAGTGGAAGATGAATGATATGAAGATTTGTTCCTAAATAAAACGTTTTTTTAGATAAATTTAAAAGAAAATAAAGAAAAAAACAGCAATTCATGAAATAAATTTGTGTAGGACAGACATTTTTCGAATATATAAGAATGCCAATTAATACGTTTGACTACATTTTGTCAAAAATTTAGCCATTTCTTGAAAAACGCATTTTTTTCACAATTGAAAACAGTTAAATAAAATGTAAACAACTCATCACAACACAGATTCAAGCTGACCGCTTGCCTAAGGTCTTCATCTTCGTCTTCGTCTCCGCTTGCACTGTGATCACTTTCACATGTTTACTAATGCACTGTTTTTCGTTTTCGGCTTCGTCTTCATCTTCATATTCATCTTCGGTTTCGCTTCCACTCTGTCTGCAACCTAAGGCCTTTCAAGCTACCGGAATATCCGACATAATATTTATTCTGGCCTCATTTGCCTTCTACGATGACTTTGGCG